TTGGAGGGGTTGTCGTCATCTTGAACTTGCATTGGACGACATCGTTATGGATGTTCACGTACGTAGAGGTTGATATGCCTAAGTGCTCACATGTATATGTATGTGTATCTTGGTATACATGTATGCATGTCTACATATCCATACATATTTCGGAATGCCTTGTGCACGTACACACGCACATGCACACACACACACACACAGAGCTACACCAGAGTGCAGGTTAGGCGATGTTGGGCTAGGCTAGGTCTTGCTAGGATGTGCTGAACCTTGCGATTTCATCTGAGCCAGGCCCAGCCAGCGAAAGTTAAAGCTTGACATAAGGATACGTATATGCTATAGTTATCAGTCTACAGTTCAGTGCCAGTGCCAACTGACGAAGCAAAGCGCCGCTCTGGCTGCGGATGGAGACCTGGGCCAAGCTGAAACGATTGATACAGCCAACTAAAGAGCGGAAGGTAATTCTGGCAAGTTCGGGTGTCTGCGTTCTAGAATCCATCAATCCCCAGAAATTGAGTGATCACACCATGTATTAGTTTTGACACTCTATTACGCGTCCAGGGTGCGGCGGCACATACATCGTCCAAACCGAATGATTATAAGGATGAGTTGTGCTGAATCAGAGACGCTGAGACATATCCTTTCACAAGGCTCAAGGTTGAGATTTTGTTGCAGCGCCAGCACGGGTGGGAGCAAGCAAATCCAGTTAATCTTCATCGTTGTGTCCTTCGAGTGGGGTCGGCTGTTTCCTCTTGAGGAAAAAGAAGACAAGGCGTCTCATGCACATGTGTCGGCCGCGAGCGAGGGGAGAAGTAATCAGGAAAAGACCACCTCAGAAGGCGGCGGGACTTGTCAGAAACCCTCGTGCGTTTTGAGAAGGCTTTTGTGCTTTCGGGGAAGGCTCAGAAAATGTTTCAGAAGGCCGAGGCACTTCCAAGCCTTCTGAGGCCCGCCCCTTCTTATTTTCCTCCTCGAGCTTGCCGCTGAATAAGCTTTCGGAGGTCCGCGCGGATTTCTTAGATCGGCACTGGACCCGTCTGCCGCCGTCCAGCGCCGATCCAAGAGATTTGCGAGGACCTCCGACAATTTATGTTGGTGCATTTGCTTCTTCGTCTTGTCTGGCCAGCGAAAGGGCAGACCGCAGTCGAGGGCAGACCGCAGTTACTTCATGGACGTGAGCGTCTACCTCATAAGATAGGGTGTCGCGTTTCCATATTTTATGTCAGGGGCGCCGCCGCGGACAAGGTCGCGGAGCAGGGATCAACACTGCGAGTGCTGCCAGCACGGACATCGAGCAGCACGAGGCGCCCGACTCTGCCGCGCTGGGCGGCCATCTGGAGCTCGGGCTTGCGAAGGCTGGGTTGTGCCGACCGTGCCGGAGATCCAGCTCCTGTGGGCGTGCCTCGTCGAGCGTGCGCGTTGCCTCGCGCCGCTCGGGCGAAGCTGGCGCCTGGCCCCTCCAAGAAGCGTGAGGAATCTGCTCCTCACCGGTGGTTCACCAGCCTGGAAAATATCCCCATCCCTATGATTGGCATCGCCTCATCTCGATGCCGATCTTAGGGATTCCCTCCGTTTCTGAGGGCGCATCCCTGAGATTGTCGTCGACTCTTGGCTTGTTAATCTTAGGGATAGGGATACGCTCGAGGCTGGTTAGTGGTGCAGACATCGACGTCACCATCTGCTGGCCGGACGGCCAGGACGAGGGCGACTCTGCCGCGGCGGCGCGGGCTCTGCAGGGGGGTGTGCTGCCGCTGCCGTCGCCGAGCCCAGGGCTCGAGGTCAGCGGGCTCGCTCCCGGGGCCAGGACATTCCAGCCCTGCGTCTGCGATTCGAGGGCGCCGTGAACGGGGACCTCTCCTCTTCACAACGCGGAGCCGCTGTGGAGCTCGCAGCCACTCCGTGCCTGCGCACAGGCCAGCCCGCTGCTACGGGGCGTGGCGCAGCTGGTGAAGTTGTGGTTCAAGTCCGCCGGCGTCTGCACTGACGTTCCTACATATCAGTCTCACTTTCTTCCCGTCGATCCAACTATTAATATGTCAGCCAGTCTCACTCTACGTGTGGCTCATCTTCCTCAGTTACATATATATATATATATGTATACACAGATAGGGACACACGACAAAAGACGGAGCAACCACGGGACAACCATGGGAAATTGACCTACGTGCTCATAGGTTTCATCGTCTACCGATCTCACAATCAATAGTTCGGTTGATCTCATTGTCTATTGGTCGGTCTCGCAATCATCCATCAAGCTCAAGATCGACGTATCTATCGATCTCACCACGTCTCTATCGGTCCCCAAAACCCTTTATCTACTGACGGGACAACCGCCAGATACCAGAAAACTACGGGAGAACCGCGGAACAACCACGGGACTAGCACGGAACGACCACGGGATAACCATTGCAATTTTTGGATACCCACGGGACAATTTATTGCGGGACAACCACGGCACAATTACGGGACAACCCCGAGGCGTCTAGGAATGCCCGGAACGTCCCGAACAGCCGCCAGAGAATCGCGTAATTCGGGGGTGGACAGACCTCCTACTCTGACACGTCGATTAGTGAATTGTCCGTTTTCGGTTCTCGATAGGGCGCCGCGGCTGTCATTTTCCAGGCTTGCGCCCACCAGGTTTGGGCCCGAGGTCGTTTTCACTGAACCACGTTCTACCAAAGGTGGTTTTCTGTCCATCCCCGAGCAATGGCCCGAAAACCACCAGGGGCATTTCCAGGGGGGGGGGATGGGCTCCCGGGGAGGGACGCAGCGACCCGCAACCGCCCACTGCTCGCCGACATGGGCCCGGTAGCCCTCCCCGCGCAGCCACGCGCGGCTCCGCTCCCGGCGGCCCATCGCCGATCTGTCGGCGGTGCATCGCCGATGCCAGGTCGGTGCTTCCCCTCCTGAGCTTGGCTTCTCCGAGGCCCTCCGGCCTTCGAGAGGGCCTACATGGCTTCGGAGAGGGCCCAGGAAGTCTTTGTTCCATGCCTCTATCGGCGGTGCATCGCCGATGCCAGGTCGGTGCTTCCCCTCCGGAGCTGGCGTCTCCGAGGCCCTCCGGCCTTCGAGAGGGCCTCCATGGCTTCGGAGAGGGCCCAGGAAGTCTTTGTTCCATGCCTCTATCGGCGGTGCATCGCCGATGCCAGGTCGGTGCTTCCCCTCCGGAGCTGGCGTCTCCGAGGCCCTCCGGCCTTCGAGAGGGCCTCCATGGCTTCGGAGAGGGCCCAGGAAGTCTTTGCTCGGGGCGACCGAGATGGGCACGGAAGGGATGGGCACCAAAGACCGACAGGAGCCCTTGTTCACCTTGAGCAGGGCTCGCCGTCGTTGTCGCCACAGGCGTCGTCCGCTCGAGGCAGCCAGTCGCCTGCCGAACAGCGGCCGCCGTCGATTCCCCAGTCAGGGCTCGCCCCGCCACCGTGCCTGGGTTGTGGGTGTGAGGCCTCTCGGATGCTCGCTGGGGGATCTCGTCGAGGCCTCTCGGGGGGCCTCCTGGAGGCAAGCTTGAGATCTGTGGGGTGCTGTTCTGAGGCCTCTGAGGGGCCCCTTCTGGGCATATCCTGGGGCCTCTCGGGGCCTCTCGTGGCCTCGTGGGGGCCTCTCGGGAGCCTCCCGGGGTCCTTCCGGAGGCCAGAGGCCTTCCGAGCTTGCCGAGAAGGCTCGGGGCGCCGCCACGCAGAGTCCCTGCCGCGGACCTGCACTTGAGCGGCAGGTCTTCTGTTGATCGAGTGCTCGCTCGCGGGAGCCAGGACTATTTCGAGGTCGACAGACCTCCTACCCTGGCACGTCGATTCGCGAATTGGCCGTGTTCGCTTCGCGAGAGGGCCTCGCGGCCGTCATGTTTGCGGGGCTGGGTCCGTCGGTTTTGGTCCCAGGCCGTTTTCGCTACGGGGAGGTTCACTAAAGGGAGGTTTGTCCACCGCCGAACTATGGATTGCGTTGTGCACGTCTACTGATGTAGCGATTTGCTGTAGCCTTGTTTTTTAGTCACACATACACACACCGGCATTCCGCGCGCACCGCGCAGATGCTTCAGCACCTCAGGCCAACCCAAGAATGCAGAATCGTCAACATCTGGCGTAATTATGGGCAGCGTGCTCAGACCGCTGCAGTGCTTCCTCCGCTCCTCATCCTGGCACCCAATCATCCTTCCAGTTGCTCAGGCGCCTGCACCGTGCGCCGGATCTGCGACCATCTGCGAGCCCTTCCTACCTACTCTGGATGGGGTATTTGTCAAGGAGGGAGGCGATCAACCTTCGGGCTGAGCTTGCCCAATCCCGCCGCCATGCATCCTCCTCCCCCTCCTCATCCTCCCCCTCTTCCTCCAGCCCCCCTCCACCCGTGCCGACAGCGCGTGCCCAGTCCCCCAGCGGATTCAAGGGGGGGGGCGATGATTTTCCCATCCAAAGTATACTTGCTGGTCCAAGCGACGCCCTTGGTCGGAGACGTACCGCTACCTTTCCCTGGTTTTCCCCTTGTTGGGCCTCCTGGGAGGCCCTCGTCGCCACCTCTGGATTCGCCTCGAAATTCTAGTCAGAAAGCACCCCGGGAGAGGTCCTGGGAGTGGCGGTACCGGCACCTTTTGGTTTCCCCACTTGGGTGTGGGGCACCCCCATTTAGGTTCACCTGGCTGCAGACATCCTTCAGATTCTGAACCCCGGTAAGTTTTCTGGCCAGCGGGAGCAGGGTTCACGCGTGGTCGTTCGTTGACAGTGCACACGCCCACGCTTCGGGCGGCTTCGCAAACTGCGAGGGCCCGCTCGCGCTGCTTGTTGCCCGTCAGAGCCAAACGAGCTTATCATTTAATGGCGCACTTTTGTAAGCCCGGCCCGCAACCTGGAGCGAGCCTGGGGTCCTGCGCCATCGCAATAGCGATGTGCACGTGCCGCGATTCGGATATAGATCGGGTGACCTTGACATCCACACTGGTCTCACCACCAGAAAAGGTGGAACACGCAAGACCGCCCCGCGTATTGAGTAAGACAATAGAGTAATGACTTGCTGACGCTTCGCGAATCGCCACCAGCCCATTCAGAAACGATGCCCAGAGGAATTGCCTCGATCAGGGAAGTGGGCAGCACACAGAGGAAGCCATAATGACACATCTTGGGATATCTTGAGCCATCTTGGAGGTCATTTTGGGCGCTCCCAGGCGCTCTTAGAGTCATCTTAATCAGTGCCCCCCAAGAGGCCAACATGTGGCTAAAACCTTTTAGTAAAATCAACGATTTGGCATTCTTGCCGAGGCCTCTTGGAGCATCTTGGGTGCCTCTGGGGGGTCTCTTGGGACATCTTGGGGGTCTCTTGGGCGCCTCCTGGGGGCCTCTTGGGGGCCTCTTGGGGCCATCTGGGGGCCATCTTGGGACCTCTTGGGGCCTCCTGGGCGCTTCTTGGGGCCATCTTGGAGGAGAGCGACCAAACAAGAGGGGAGCGTCAATTAGGGTCCCGCCCTCGGGAGGCCAAAATGGGGCCAACACCCTAGTAACATCAGCCGTTTTGGACGCCCTGGCGACTCGCGAACCCCCTCCAGGTCCATGGGGAGGGGGTAGGGGGAGGGGTCAAGACTCCTTACCCGCCCGCAAGCCGTCTCGCTCACTCCCACCCGCCCTCCCAACACAGACGTAGCACCCGAGCCTGGCCCGAGCCGCAGCACATTCAGCAGTCATTTTTGGATGGGCAGTTGCTGGGGGCGAATCCGCCGCCGCCGCCTCTGCCGCCACCGCCACCCGCCGCCGCCGCCGCGCCGCCGCCGCCGCCGCTGTCCGCCGCCACCGCCGCCGCGCCGCCCGCCGCCCGCCGCCGCCGTCCGCCGCCGCCGCCGCCGTTGCCCCCGCTGCCGAATCGCCGCGGCCGCTGCCACCGCAGCCGTTGCCGCCACCATTGCCGCCGCCGCCGCCGCCGCCGCCGCCGCCTCCGCCGCCGCCACCGCCGCAGCCGCCGCAGCCGTTGCCCCCACCGCAGCCGCCGCCGCCGCCAAGTGTATTCTGCACTGTTCTTTGGCAGGGATGGTGGGGGGAGGCCGCATCGGGTTCGCTGCGCATGCTTCGAATTTGGAAGCACAGTGTGTTTTGCATTGTTTTCTACAAGGGATGGGGGGGGTGCCCGCATTGACCCCGGTTGGCTCCCATTTGTCTGGGGGAGGAGGTGTATAGTAATAGGGAAGAGTGAGAAACCCCTCCCTGAAGGGGAAGAAGGAGGGGTGGAACAGGAAACTCTTTAAACCACCGACGCCCAGAGGGCTGGTGGGATTAGTGAACCCGCAAAGCGGGAGCCACAAGACTCCAAATCAAAGTCTTGCTCGGCGCCATGGCGTCGATCCGCGCATGCCCGGACAATCCGGGGAGCATGTGGCACGCCTGCTTCGGAGGCCTTTTGGGGGGCCGGGCCATCTCGAGCGGCCGTGCGGCTCTCGAGGGTATCCCCGAGATTCGTCCCGGGCAGCCCTCGACGCCTCCCTGTCGGCTTCCTTAACTTAACTCGAGCTGTAGATGAGCTACAGAGCTGTTCGGCACAGCAATCGAAATGCAATCATCAGAAACGCGAGTCTAAAGTATCCAGGTGCCTGAGATCGGTCTGCTACCAGAGTTGGGACCAATAAATTATTTTATCCTGCAAATGTTCTGACGTTGCGAGGCTTCCGCAGGCCCCAGCGTGCTTCTGGGTGACCCTCACGCGACCCCCAGCCCAAGACGCCTCCGCGCGGCCCTCTGGAAGCTCACGAGAAGCATCCGGGAAACTCCGTCCCCGCTTCGCGGGGGGCGTCCTCTGGCGGGCGGGGCGACGAGGAATGCTTCCACCGCCTTCGAGAAATCTCACCTGGGAGGCCTTACGTTTTCGTTTTGTTTGCGTTCCCGTGGAAGCGGGGTGTCCGAGCTTCCAGGGCCTCACCGGGGACAGGCCGCCCCCAGGGTCCAAGACGGCCAAAAATGCCCGACAAAATTGCGGTCCGCAACTTTGGAAACCTGGGTCCGTTGATATAGAAGCCGAGGTCCGCAATTATGGGACATAATGCTCTAATGCGGAAGTTTGTGTCCGAACTTGGAATCCATTGCGATAGTTTTGCTGGCGGTCTTCGATTTTATTCAGTGCAATCTACGATTCGGAGCTTATTGAATCATTTCCAAATTACACACCAAACGTTGAATCACAGACTGCGCGCGACGAGTCACAAAAATACCCTGAATCAGAGACTCCGCGCGACGAATCAGAGATTCCGCGCGTTCTGCGCCCGAATCAAAGCGCGCCGAATCAAAGATTCCGCTCGCCGAATCAGAGAGTGCGCGAGCCGAATCAGAGATTTCGCGCGGGGAGTCAGAGATTCAGCCCGCCGAGAATCAGAGACCGCCCATTGAAACAGAAATTGTGCCCCAGAGACCGCCTTCCTCTCGCGGCTTATTCCCTTTGATTCTCGATGATTTGGCTGATCCGTTGATCCGGTGAACCGGTATTACTGTTGCCAGATCTTGCAGATCAGACTGGTCCGGTGATTTGGTGAGTTGGTGTTGTGGCCATGCGTGGGTACTGGCATGGAAGGAAGAAAGGGCCAGTTCGCTAATGAATTCGTGCACCTCCTCTTGTTATTCCTCCTGTTACTTCTTGTTCCTCTCTGTGTTACCTGGCTCCATTTCGTGCGCCCGTTGCCTTTTATGCTCCCATCTTGTTGTTCCACAAAGCGACGGCCCTGCACTAAAAGTAACAATTAAAACCATGGTTTCGCACCAGAAATATACATCATGCACAGTGCGGGAATATTTCGATGAGTAAGCCCAGAAATAAAAAGAGCACGTGCAAATTATCGTGCAGGTTGTCGCCGTGTGTTCGACATTGTGAGCAGGATCCGGTAATGCGCCGACTAGTTTGCACAATTCGTGTGTGTTTCAGTGATATCGGAATTGCGCAGGGACCATATTTGATTGCAACGAGCGTGAAAGGCAACAGTAATTGAAAATCGTTTTCAGTGACAGCTTCGATCCACGTAGGACGCCAAGGCGCTTATTTGGCCAATGACCCAGCTGGCAGACCATGAAAAACGGCCAGAGTTTGAAGGGGATGTGGTTTTGAATGAGCCTTAGCGAATATTTGGCGAATATTTCGGGGGGCTTGGAGGCGCACGCACGTTTCCATCCCCGCACGCGCGATAGGTTGCAACATCGGCAGTACAATGCTTCTTGGTAGTGGAATTCGAATTTGAATTTGTGCAGTTCACGAACCCGTAGTCTTTCCCATACGATTCGACTCTTCAAACACCCGGAAATATAGAATGGGTCAGGAGAAGTTGTTTTTCAAGATTGGCGGCTCTTGTTGGTGAGCATTATTTATAAACAAAAAACCAAGAGGCCTGTGCACATCTGCAACACTTTCAAAATGGTAGCACGTTTTACTTTAAACCGATTGCAAGATGTTGGTGCTAAAGACCGGCGTTGCGCAATTCAGTTGGGTTGTTGCAGGGGACACGGCACGGCAATTGTTGTCCGCGACACAGAGCGTCATGTTAGATGTTTTGGATAATTGCTAAAATACGCTTGGGTATACCGAACCTGGCAAGCGTTGTTAGCATTGCCTCCACATTGATTGAACCAAACGATTTCTTCCAATCCAACGCGATGCTTCTTATCTTTTATCTTCAGCTATGCTCGGCTAGAGGCTGTCGGAGGCTATCTTGAGCCATGTTCAGTTCTCTTCTTGAGCGCTTTGGGAAAGGCTGGGGAGCTTTTGGGGCCATTTTCGGCCCCAGGTCTGAAAAAGAAGAGGTCCGCTCTCAAACAACGTCTTGGGGCGTTCTTGGAGCGTTCTTGCGCGCCTCATGGGCGATCTCGGGGCCATCTTCAGCCTTTTCGGCTCCCATTTGGTGCTTTTCGGCAATGGGAACCAAAAAGGCGAGAATACCAAAAACATTGATTTCATTGATTTCCCCTTGACTGTTGAAGAGTTTGCGCATCTTGGGGAGCGCGGTGGGGCGCTCGAAAGGCACTTGGATCGTCTTGGGGTTTTCTTGGGGCCTTTTTAGGGTAGGTCGGAGGCTATCTTGACCTATCTTGAAGTAACATGGGAGACCATCTTGGACGCTCGAACGCCTCGCAGGGCGTTCCGTCCAAACCCATATGGGAGCGCAAGGGGAGAGACAAGAAAACAACGCGTTTACTACCTAAGCCCAAAGGGTTGGTGGGATTCCACATGTCGTCGTTTCATATGTATTGAGACAGAAAAGAAAAGCTAAGCCGCAAATTTCGGGCTTTGTGCAAGAATACCCTCTATCCCCGTTCTTGATCATAGCGTTAATGGCGGTAGCACCATTATGTATGGAACGCGGTCGCTACAGCTAAAGGGTAATGATGCATGACGTTTGTGTCAGGATCATCACATTACGTACATGTAATAATTTGATTTGCGATCGTCGCCAGATATATTGCATTTTTATTTTGACTTTGATTGAAATATTCTCCTCCATGTACATCTGAAGCATTCTCCCAAAGTTTGCTTCCATGTTTCCTGAATGCTGCATATGTGTCGGTGTCTTCTGTAATAAATAGTTTGCGTGTTTCTATAGAATGTAAAGAGACAATGCAAAATAATAAGATCGGTAAACGCTGGGCTAGTTTACCAGTCGGATTTATTTTCCAACCAGCGCCAGAACCGATCATATGTGTTTTCCACGTGCATTGTAATTCTTAGATTGCATGCGTGAATGAAAATATTAGGTGAAGCGAAAAGCGCTACACAAATTCAATAATTTGATTTTTTTCAGACAGCGGTAACCTGCAAACGAGGAATTACATTGGTTTTGTCCACGTTGCTTTGTATGTTTCCGATTGCATAATTATGCCGACGATAATAACATTTTTCACCCCGGTTTTTTTTTTTCTTATGATTCCTTCTTGTTGTTCTTGACATTGGTTTCAATATTATAATTCCTCACATCTCTCCATGCAACACGGGTTTATCCTTTCCTGTCTTGCTTCCCGTAATGTTATTTTAAAAATTTAAATTTTCGTATAATATTCCA